CGGCACTGGCCCGGCTTTATGGATTACCCAAAATTCACAAGCCCAATGTTCCCCTTCGACCGATCGTTGCCTTGAAAGGCAGTCCCACTTACAATCTATCCAAGCGGATGGCTCGAAAAATTAACTTTCTCAGAGAAGGCTTGAGGATCTCCATCAATTCGGCCTCCCAATTCCTGGCTGACATCCGAGGAAAAGTTGTCCGACCTGATCAGATGATGGTGTCCTTTGACGTGGTTTCATTATTCACATCCGTCCCACCGGACCTGGCACGCGACGTTCTTCGCAAACGACTCGAAGAGAACTACGACGAAACGGACAGACCCCTAAAAATCGATCACTTACTGCAACTCTTTGCTTTTTCACCTTCAATGGCAGAACATACGAGCAGATCAAATGAACACCGATCGGTTCGCCAATATCCAGCCTGGTTGCAGAACTAGTCTTGTAGGAGGTGGAAAAAGTCGCCTCCGGCCACTATGAACCTGAATTTTGGCGCCGGTACGTGGACGACACGTTCGTTATAATTGAAAGGAGCAGACTGGCCGGCTTTCAAGACCTGCTTGACGGCATCTTCCCGGACATTCAGTTCACAAGAGAAGAGCATGTTGAGCAGCTGCCTTTCCTTGACGTTCTCGTCACTCGTACACCCAACGGCGAACTCAGCACCACGGTGTACAGAAAGGCGACTAACACGACTCAGATTCTCAACTACCATAGTAACCACCAAATGGCGCATAAACGCAGCTGTGTTAGGACACTCTTCCAAAGGGTAAAAACGCACTGCAGTGAACCAGAGAGACGAGTGCGAGAATTACGGCATCTTTGGGACCAACTGGCAAGGAATGGATACCCGAACAGCTTCGTCAGCCTCTGCCTCCGCACGCATCCACGGCGAACAAACGAAGGAGAGCCGCCAACACTCTGACACCCTCTACCATGTATAAAAACGTGTCCGAAGCGATGGAACGTATCGCAGGAGAGCTCGGCGTGGGTATCGCTCACCGTCCGACAGCGACTATGCGTCACAAAGTCATGCGGGGGAAGGACCGACTAGACGTGGGAGAACAATCGGATGTTGTTTGTCAGATCCTATGTCGGGACTGCCTTCGTCACTACACAGGACAGACCGGACGATGACATAGCTCACAAATAACGGCGCATAAACGGGCGGTCCGGAGAGGCAACCCGTTTTCTCAGGTCATCACTCACATCCTGGAGGAAGGCCACGAATTCGACTTCGCGAGCACGCAGATAGTAGCGCGGGCCAGCAATAAGACACGGCGAGAACTGTTGGAGGCCTGGGTGTTTGATCTCAACTCTATCAACAGACACGTTGACATACTCCCTTGCTATCACGCGCTCCGTTCCCGCGGCCAAGAGGCGAGACCCAATTTCCACCCGAGTGCACGCAGTCACGCCGCCTTGAGACGGCGTGGGATTCAGCTTATCGCGAATACCACCCTCTGTACTCATATCCCCACATTCATGGCTTGACTACAAAAACTGCTCATTTGATGCCGCATTCTCAGTCTCTGACGGTTGCCTCCTGTACGAGCCTGAAAGCTCAGACTAATACACCTACTATTCCAGATATCGTTTGTTCATCTTCTTTACAGTAAGAACCTGGGATTCGCATATTCGCTTCCACCCAATGCTTGACATTGTCGCGGACGAAGTGTTTGGATCGGGAACTATAATGCTTTCGTGAGACGAATCCTTGACTACTACGCAGAAGGATTCCGCTATCCCTATGGTGAAAGTCTTTTCAACTTCTCTGTGCCGAACCGTTTGTTCTTTGCATACACGTATTTCCGTCATCCCAGGAGACCTCTAGTCAGCTCGTACTCAAGTGGTGACCACCCCCAACGTCAAATCGACTGTCCGAGTACGCCGAGTTAGGTTCCCGCGCGACTCGCGGTGCCGTTGCCGACAATTTGTGTGAGGACATGGCTACAGCTCAGGCCATTATCTAAACGACACGGCCTAGGGAAGAGTATGTTGATCCTCTCAGTTTTCCTGTCGCTTTCACAGGCTCCCGTCTGAGTGCCTCCTCGCCGCATTTATGCGGATGACAAACAACTCCAAGGACCCTTCAGCTAGAGATAACTAATTTTACCTGAGCATTGTTAGTCCGGAGCAAACGTCGCCGCAGTGATTAGGCCTGTGCTGAAATGATCTAATTAGCCGAAAGTGCAGGAACTGATCACCTTCGTGACGGTCCTAACTTAGTGGAGATGGGTCGTGGGCCCATGCGTTCTGCTCACTACGACAGCAGCGAACTTCCGAGTGAAGCTGCCCGGAATTTGAAACGGTTCGGAGGTGAACCGTTTGTCTAGATGATCAGAGACGATCAGGGTAGAGTTTCGACGCCCATGTTTGATTATACAGTCCAGGGGAAGTAGCGTTTTGCCCTACTGAACCCCATCAGGTTTTGTCCTCTCAACTACCGTCCAGTTTGAAAACGCCTCGTCGTCCAGAGATTACTGCGACTGCAAGTCACCATCTGCCGAGAGTACTATTTGGGCCATAGCGGAACTGAAGGACGAAGTAAATGCCAATGGCTGCCTTGCAACCGTAATCAGCAGTACTTATTGTATGCTTACATGATATATGGACCAAAATATAGGAAACAGGGACAGACTGAGGCGGTGTTATCGTTCGCCGATCGTCAGGAAAAGTGACAGGTCGCTGTGTAGCAACTTCCGCGGCAAAGGTATCCTGGTTGCTGCTACAAAAATCTGCACAGTCGTCCCCAAAGTCACTCCTGCCTGTGCACAACGCGAAGACAACTATGAGCCTAACGGAGATGTGTTGACAAACTCCTCGCCCCTCGAGACCCTCGAGCACCAACACTGTTTCGGTAGTTTCTACTCACTCTACGAACTTCAATGTGGTCGAACAGGCTGCATGACGGCGTGACGCTGAAATTGCGTCGTTTGATTTAACCTTTTTATCACAGAAAGTAACCAAAGTCCGCATAAATAACCAGTAAATCGACTTCCGTGATGGCTGTCATCTCCGGCATCCGTCGAGGTTCTGTATGCCCACTCTGTCTAGTTATATGAGATGTGGAGCTCCTGTACACACTTGCAGACCACCTCGGTGTTGCAGCGGGTCGTGTTACATGCTTTGCATACAATGACTACGCTGAGGCCGCTGCGTTATTAGTCGATTCGTCTGCAAACACGCAATTAACCGTGCCCCTCATAGGTGCAGGGGCGGCCAAGTGGGCTTGAGGATAATTTCTTCAAAGTTCTCCCCCTCTGCGATAGGAAATCGGGGCTTGGTTACGGTAAAAGGCAAAGCACTAAGGCTGGTGGACAGCTTCTGCTGCCTTCAATCGAACTTTCTGTCGAACGGACAATAGGAGCGTGAAATCTACAATCAGACTAGCCGCACATGAGCTTATTTTGTTAGACTCTACCGAGATCCCTTGAATCAGTCTAAAAGCCTAGCTGCATGTATACGAGGACGCCGTCCAAAAAATCCACCGTAACGACGTTAGACTCGGCTCGTAAGCTCAGGTTTTCGATCAATCGTATCTGGCCACTATTTTCCGCATTTGTCTCTGACCGCTTCTCTAACCGAAATCTACAGGACTGGTCAGAGACCCAGCCTGCGAACTGTTCGTCAGTG